AATTATTGCCAGGCATTTACAAGATACCATCAAGCAGGTAACCTGGCAGTGTGACCTTGGCCTCCAGATTAAACACAAAACTACTCACAAAATAAAACTTAGTCAAATTGGAAGGGGCCRTTGACCTGGATAGCAGTGGCAAATTGATTTCACAGAACTTCCAAGAAAAGGGGGTATCGATATTTGTTGGTATTAACAGATACCTTCTCAGGGTGCCAGAAGCCTTTCCCACCAGAACTGCCAAGGTTCAGGAAGTAACTAAGTATTGCTACAAGAAATAATACCACGCTTTGGGGTTCCAGCCACAATATCCTCAGACAGAGGACCCCACTTTATTGCAAAGGTGKTACAGCAAATCAGCTGCCAATTGGGCATAAAATGGAAACTCCACACCCCATACCATCCKTAGTCAAGTGGTCAGGTGGAAAAAATGARCCATCTAATCAAGCAATAGATTGTGAGGCTAGGGCAAGAAGCCAATTTACCCTGGCCCTGGTCTTGCATTGCTACGAATTTGGACCAAACCCAGAACTAGAGAACAGTTAAGCCCCTTTGAAATACTCTATGGGAGACTGTATGGAGTACAAAAGGGAATATCTACCCAAGCTGGGGAAGAAATAATGACCACCTATATGGTGGCTTTAGGCAAGTAACTCAGAAAGGTTGAAAAGCACATGGCCGGAACCCGAAGTCAAGGTTTAGATGGTCCTGCACATGATATTCAACCTGGGGATTATGTATATGTTAAATCTTTTGCAGAAAAAACTCTGGAGCCACAGKGGGAAGGACCATTTCAGGTACTCCTTACCACTTTCACCGCAATTAAAATCAAAGAGCAGAATGCCTGGATTCATCATACGAGAGTGAAGAAGGCTCATAATTCTCCTTGGAAAGTCACACAAGTTCAACCAGGAAAATGATTTTTCTCACAATCATAATTATAATCCAGGGATGGGAGAGTAYCTCTAGCCAGGACAATACTGAYTGGCGTTGGTGTCAAGGTGTCTGGCGGTATACTGGATCCATGGGGAGGTATTCTGAYATAAAGGGTTTAAATCTGTTAACTATGGTTATGCACAAAAATCAGGTATATGATTTGCAAGACAAGAATGGGAAAAACAAAGATTATGGCAACTTCAGGGGACTGTAGGTRAGGTAATCAAAATAGGATGCTGAATGGTTAATGGGACTGCCTATGAAAAACTACCCTTACTGATAAGCATGAAGAAATTTGTACTTGTTCAAGTGAATTGGACTGTTGYATACTTTTACATTAGTACAGACTGCTGAGGTGGTTTGTCTTTGGGCCCAGGATACAATAGGGCTCTCATTCAAATTTAAAATAAATGCCATAGTTCGACCTATTACAACCTATGCCAGTACTCAGGCCCAAATCCAAACCACACCACCAAAACTTGAACACAAAATTTATGAAACTGGCCCATATGTAATAAGGAACACGGGTCAGCAACAATTGTTGTTTAACCCAGAGTGGTCTCTCAAGCGTGTTGAACTGATAAAGCCAATCAATGTTTTTGAAATTCAACCAACATGTTCTTCTTTCCTACAAACATTCTTCAAGGGATGGATAACTTGGCCGAGGAAACAAGTGCCCTTCAGGGGTAGAACACGAAGGGACTTAACTGGAGTGTTTAGAACAGGATTAGGAGTTTTAAGAGAAATTGACTCAGAGATATTAGTGAATAAATTGGCCACCGTAACTAATGATTTGGTAAGATTAAGACAACCCCTGCAGTCTTCTCTATTATCATTAGGAAGTGAACAGTGGCAAGTTTCAAAAGTGTTACCAAAATGGGAAGAAGTTGAAGARCAGGACCATGAATCGATAATAAATGCACTTGGYATAGTCCAGGACAATGTATCCTTAGCCCTTAGTTGTATAGAGGCACAAGTATGGACACTGTCAGCAGCTGCCTTAATTATAAGAGAAGGCAGTGAAGGCACTTTTCCCATTGAAATTCAGAAAATTGTTTGGGACAATGCCACTGATCTAGAAAGAAAATTTCAATATGGTGGACCTGGTAAACTTTACCTATGACCCTATTGCTAATATGGTCRCAGCCTTTGTGCTAACTATACGTAATGCTACTGTCTACATTATCCACCCCATTGTTGCACTAGGATTAAACCATGAGAGAACAGTGCTCTATCCCTCTGAACGTAGGGTATGGGCCCACATGGTAGAGAAAAAGTGGCAAACTGTGGATTTAGAATCCTGTATCGCATGAGAACAACAGAGGTTTATCTGTGAAAGCAATACAATTGATGCCCAGGACATATGCCTTGATATGGAGCAAGGCATTTGCCACTYTGAAGTCCATCCAGATTCCAGTCAAAAGACTGTGCTTTGTGTATATTGGTCAAGGTTGTGTTGCTTAAGGACTGTTTGTGCTTCTRTGAAGATAGATAGTGATAACATAACCTTAAATGTAAAGAATTATTCTAATTTTTGTATCTGTAATTTTGCTAAGATCATTGGGTGTGACTTTTCATATTTAGCTCCAGTTGTATCTCTCCAATTGATAAAGTCTAATTACACTATGTACCACAAGTTGTCACCCATCTATTGGAATGAACCTTACATTAATAAGACAATTAGTAAAGCATCAAGACCTGATTCAAATTTTGAAAGAAGTCCAGGAAAATGGAAAGGAAACTTTAATTACTATACATCATGACCCAGAAAAGATAAGCAGAATCTTGCAAAAGGCAAGACAAGATGCAAGTCATCACCRGTGAGATGTGCTTTKTAGGTGGCCACCAACTGCAACTGGTATTCTAAATACCCGATGTCACCCTATTATTGTTCTTTTACTATTAGTTAATGTTAGCTTTGTTTTATCTTTAGTGTTATTTGTTTGGAATTGGAGAATGTCACGAGTAGCGATTTTGACTTCTCTGTCAAACGCACATGGTAAGGCATTGAGAGATACCTAGAAGAAGAATGTAAGTATTAGTAAAAGAATTTACTAATTTTATAGAAAAGGGGGGAATGATGCAGGGAAGTTAGAAGTTAYGGGATAACTTGTTAGAAACTGCTTGCTAAACAGTATATATCACTAACTGCTTGGTAGACAGTGTATATTGCTTACTTAACATTTATTGTGTTTGTCAAAGCAGAATGAGAAGTAAAAGATTATTGACAAAAGCAAGAACTGTGACCCAGCTTGTGTTCGTGGACCCCCTACGCTGGCTGAAACCAGAGTTGTTGTTTGGACTTGGGCCAGGGACTCAGAGASCATGCGCAAGATAGAAAGGTGAAAAGTTCAAGACAAGAGGATGAGTATTTTACTTCCTCCTGAGACCCCTGGAGCCCTCTACCAAATAACACTGCGCAGGCATGAGCACATGGAAATGACTTTTGAACTCTATAATACGAAGYGGGGATAGGTCATGCATATGTGTAGGTGAATTGCGAAACTCAGTGAATGTGTAACATGCAACCAGATATATACCAAGTGATACCATGCTGGGGGTGTGAGCAGCTTTGAGGAATACCTCCTRCACACCTGGCGCTGCAATAAACATACCTACTTCACAACTTAAAATTACATAAGTTGTGGAGTCTTGCCCAGATTATTTTTGGATCAGCTGTCCATTGTCTGCCTTTCTCATATTCAAAAAAAWTCTCTTTAATAACAGCCTCCATTAACATGCACTATTTTATGATATTGTGACATAAAAATAGGTCTTTCTTGTCCTAATATCCTAATGTCCTATACTATTTTAGAACAGCTTTGGATCTGTCTTTGTAACTATCCTAACAGGACACATGTCTTTGGGCTTAGTTTTCACAAAGTGCAAAGTRTTAATCTGGCAGCCTCAGAGCGCTGTACTTCAAACGGGTTTAGCACTGGAGCACACAACCTTGCAGGCTGAAGTGCACATGCAATACAGTTCACTCTTTCCACCACTAGTCTGCAAAGATAAAATCAGTCTGAGAGAGCAACTCGGTGTGCTTATCTACTGACTTAATGGGCAGTGACAAAGACTTCAGTGACAGATGGAGCCCTAATGTCCTCAGGGCAGGATGAGCTGCACTGCATACAAGGATCTGGAGAGTGTCACTATTTTTAACTCTTCAAGAAAATTTCTGAAACTTTTGATGCCTCTGAGCAGCAGATGGGTCATTCATCCCATCCAGCACATTTTCGTGTTTCCATAGAAAGGTGGGCAAAGAGATTCATTTTGCCTCATCCTCCTTCTTACWATGGAAATGTGTAAACATAATTAAAATAATTAAAATTCTTTTACCAGTTAATAAAACACACTTTGAACAGAGACTTTATTACAAAGACTGTAATTAATCTGTTTAAAACAAATGTTGTTTGCTTGTAGAAGCAGATCTGCCCACATATTTCTGAMGTGCATTAATGGAGAATGGTTGTAACATACCCCCCCACAGTTCAAAATTATATAATAGTAATAATTAAAAGTCACGCTTTGTATTTATGATTCATGCATCGGCAGAGAAAGAGGGATCAGAATATGTCTCACAGTTTAACATACCGCTGAGAAAATAGTGAATCAAATCCTGACAGCCCTTGGGGCTCCTTCCTCAGAAACTTTTTACTGTTTCCAAACACGAGTTGCTACCCTTTCAAACTCCTCTGTTTAGAGAAGTACGCCACAGACGCCTGTGTCAGCTCCTGGGCTTGCATTAGTCAGTAGGCTCTTATCCCACTCTCGAAGACCTCTGTGCCGCGCAAATAGTATAAAATCAGTATAACTAAAACCTCGAACATGCTGGAGAAGAACCAACCAAAACAGCAGGACGAGCAAAACCACCCATATAAATTACTTCCACCGCATCCTGGAGCTCCTTTCTGGCCAGTTTTGCAGGGATGCAGCGGGGATGCGGCGGGACCACACCGCCCTCCGAGCCCCTGCTCTCTGAGCCCGCAGCAGCTGCCAGAACCCGGGCAGGCCGCGGGCAGCCGCCGTGGTGAGAAGCGGTGCCGCCCCCCGCCGCCCGCCCTCCGAGGCGGGGCTGTGCGCGGCCCTGGGGAGAGGGGCGGGCAGCGGGGCAGCTCCTGCGGGCCGCGCCGGGGAGCGGGCGGAAGGTAAYGCGGGCTGGTGGGTGCGCGCAGTGTACTGAGGGGAGGGTGAGGGCTCAACCCGAGGCAGCGGAGGTCGGGTTTGAGAGTTTTCCTGCKCTGGCGTCTCTCTGCACCCTCTTCCCGTACCCTGCCCGTCGTGGGGCTGCGCTCCCGCGGTGGCAGCCGGGCCGGAGGGAGCGGTTCGGTCCGCTCGAGGTATTTTTGAGTCGGCCTTTCTGCCTGTGAGAGTGGCTCTCTGCCAGGGAAATTCTCAGTTGCGCGAAGGGCAAAAGTGGGAATTGCAGGCCTGGGACGAGCTCAAATCATGTTAGCTTTCACTTCTTATGCCTTAAATTCCATGCGTTGCAAATCGAAAATCAGCCGAATAAACGGCACGATTTYCCACAGGAAGGAGAACCCGTAATAGTTCTTTTTTTACACTTGACATCAGTTTTGGCATTCTCCTGTCGCCTGGAGGCCTCCCGCTTCCGATGCTTGGGCGATTTGCATTCTTTACAGCTCCTCAAGACGCCTCTGTAATGATTGTTTATCTGGAGTAAAGGCTTTCTGGCGTCGGGAAGTACATGAGTGCTGAGAGCAGAGCCGCCTGTCGCTCGCTGTGCGTGGAGGGCGAGGTGCCGCCATGCTCGGCACTTCCTCGGGAAGCCGGCGGGGCTAAGCGGAGCACCTGCTGCTGCCGGGCTCACCTCGACACTGCTCAACCTCGGTGGCGAGTTCTGCATCGCATTCAACTCTGTGAGAGTTGAACTGCTAAAAAARCGTGTTGTGGTGGTGGGCGTGAGTATCGCCCTGAAAAGTCTTTAAAGCGCTTCTTTGTAGTTACACGGGCGAGCACTCGGGCTTGGGATGAATGGTTTAGTGGGAGTGGACTACGGAGGTCAAAGTTGCCGAGCTAAGGGAGTTGTTATAAATTAAATTAATGCTTCTGGCATACAGTGTTGTGACTTTGCTTGTCTAACTCGTTGTGGCACAGGCAGTGTGTGCTGCCTTGTTTGGGATGCTACCAAAACCATGAGTATTCATTTTTGTGGCTTTAGATGCCAGGTTCACTGTCCTGAATCTTACCTCGGGACGTTGTTGCCAGCATTTAACGTGCCTGCTATGTGATAGCTATGGGAGTCCTCTGCTAATGCTTGAGTGCTCTTTGGCAGCATCTTCCCTTCTGATTCTATTTGCTAAACTAAAGTGTAGAACAGATTTTTTTTTTTTTTTAAATAAATGAGGGGTTTGCTAGTAAAACTAATTGTTAAAAGCGAAAAAAAGGAAGTGAGGAAGTAAAATAGAGATGATTAATTGCTAGTGTCCAAAAGAATCCTGTGCTACATCAGCAGTGCCCTCAAGATGAAATATTAGATTTGCAGCTATAGTGAATGTGTTAAAGATTTCCTCAGTAGTTATTACAAGTTTTCCCTAGTCTTTGATAAGCCTAAAGGTTAAGGGCAGGTAATATTGAAAACAGTATCGATCAATGCTAACATAAATGAAAGTGACCTTGTCCTGACCAGCTTACCAACACACCCACAGGTTTTGCATTCCTTTTCTAGGTATAGTAAACCAAGAGTCATCCCAAAGCTATTCTTATGCTTTGGAATTTTATCTATAATGAAAATGAGTTGATAGCCTAGTTTCAGATAATAATTTTATGTATGTGTGCAGGTTTCATTTTGAAGTTATAACTTTTTTACATTATGAARTCTTATGGAGCATCATGATTTTTTTACTAACTTCCCTAATAAGAAATTCCTATTACTTATTAGAGAAGAGTTGGTGTGAGATTCGTTAAATTATTCTTTCTTGTATTTGTGGAATTCATAATCTAGCTAATTTTTAGTAAAAAGAAGTAATTTGTATTAAAAAAGGATGTGCTTCATCCATCTTAGTTGTTAATACTGTTTTCAAATGGATGTGTATTGCCTCAAATGTGTCTCATTTGGGTGCTTTTAAGGTGAGTTTGATGCATTTTTCACCATCCATCATCAACGTCACAGACAAATAAAAGGTCAGTCTGAATAAATCACCCAGTCTGTAATAATAGTGTTGTGGTAGCTGCAATGTTGTCTTCCCTTAGAGAGAATTTATATATTCTTTATCAGTAGAAAAAAGATTGTGGGCCTTCAAATCTGCTCATTGTCTCTGTTACTCCTRTGTTCTGGTTCCAGGTTTCAGAACAATATGTGAATAAATCAGCACCTTCTGCAGTTTTGATAGCATCATTGTTTGAAGCGTCCTCTGTTCCTGGTCATTATTTGATCAAACATAAGAGTCCAGTAAGAAAGRAAAATAATTGCCTTTATGCTTTTTTTTTTTTTTTGCAACTTAGTCACTAGAAAAGAAGTTTCTTTCTGCCTACCAACTTACATCAAAAGAAATGCCATAATGCCTGTTGGTTATTTTTCTTTCATAATCTACTTCCTTAAGGTGGTTCTTCCACACCTTTGTAGAATGCAGCTTTTTTTTGTGACGTATGACATTACTATCTTTTMAGTGGTATTCCCACTACATCGGGCAGAATTTTGCATGAATCTTACACTCCTTACACATCTGAATGTTCTGTGTTGGGTAGAYAGCTTTTCATGCGGAAAAGTAGTCTTGCTTGGTTTGTGTTCAGTTGAAAATAATAGAAGATGAAATCACTAAGCAGGTCTGTAACACAGAATCACACATTTCCTATTGTCAAATGATGAGACTTGAGATCACTTAAGGTGCAGAACTCTTGGGGAAATTGGATATCTAGCACTTATATACTTGCAACTTCTTTTGTACACTGTGTGAATATGTCCATTTCCTTAATACAGCATAGATGTCTTGCTTAAGCCAACTTTTGAAAAAGATTAGTTCTGTATTATTACTTGCTTTTCTATACAAGTAGCATGCTCCAAATGTTTTTCTTTTTGGTTCTCATCTTGCCTGGTGAGTGAAATTCCTTCAGGAATTTTTAAAGAAACTAGATCAATAATTTAACAATTGGCAGCTAATATTTATCCTATCTTCTRTTAGCCCAAGTATCTTGATAATATGTACATTACAAATTAGGCAGTAATATATGAAACAGAAGTGTATCTTAAGGGTGTTAGCTTCCTCACAATTTAGCAAGATAATGATAAATTTAGCTGATTAATGGTTACTGTTGTTGCCTAAGCCCCTCAGAAGTTTTGAAATCCCCACACATTTTGCAAATGGGGAGGCTGCCTCCTTCATACTTCAGCTCTGGCACGTTGTTTGYGGAACTGCTGGGTTGTGCAAGCAGGGCCCAGAGCCATGGAATAACTGTGGAAAAATGGGCTCTTGTTTATAATGAGYTGTGAATCAGAATTACACTGAGTTTCCTTAAGTTAGCTTTAATGGTTGAATCAGCCATGTCTTTCCTGGTTTCAAAACAGGCTTTATTTGACTGTTATAAGGATGAATTTAAAAAAAACCTTCATAGCAAAAAAAGGATGAGATTGGGCAGTGAGCAATCTTAGAAGAGTCACCTGGGTTACATAGTGTCTTGTAGTGTAGGGTTCTCATTTTGAGAGTCGCAAAATAGGTTTGGTGAGGCTTTAACAACTTGTATGTAAATACAATGTACATCTGTTTCTAGGAGGCAGCATTTGAAAGGGTGTGAAATGTCTGGGGGTTACAGAAAGCAGCTGGATTTTCTTACCTGTGCCAAGTGAAAGTTCTGTTGGTGAAGGCTAAGTTAATTTGTATTTTTTTTTTTATCCCCTGACTTCTAAGGTTCATGAATTATTAGGCGAATTGTGCATGGTTTTATAGGGGCTGTCTCAGTTTTATAACAAGAAAGAAGCTAATTTGGTTTGGGCAGCATTTTTTAAAATATCAGTTTAGTAGTTGACTGGCATTTAGACAGATTTCATCTTTGGACATGATAGCTGGCTTCCTGTGAGTTTCTCATATCAGCCTTGGTCAATCCCACATGAATATTCCATGTTAAGTTCAAAGTTTCTTTAATGAATCACTTTGGGCATTTGAGCTGACCAGAAGTAAAAGTCTTCAATTATATTAAGTATAGTTGTGTAAAAGATTTATGTGTCTCTGTTAATTGGAAGGTGGCTCTTTTGGGACTGTGTGTAAGTAAAGAAAAAATAGGAAATGGTGATCTCATCCTTGATGCCATYAGTTTATAAAAATTACTTTACAGACTGGGGAATCAGGCAGAGCCTTGAAAGTGACCCCCTTTTGATCCACGGTTGTAAATCTAATCTAGAGTTACTATTACCTGCTCTTTCTGACCTAGTACTGTTTTTCTGCATTTTAACATTTAAGTTTGTTGGATAGGGACAAATTTCCACTTTCAACACCTTTTTACAGCGACTTGGATAATAACAAAATGGAACCTGCAAAGCTGCACTACTGGATTCTGGGTTGGTTTTCCATGGCACTGTGTTGTTGGTGTACTTCAGATACTTTTACTCAAAGGTGAGTTGTGCTTTAAAATGAAATGTCTTACTTAAATGAAATTCTTAAGTGCAGATCAGAATGGTTTAACTTCTAATGTAAATTTCATTATTACTTTAATGAGTTATTCTTTCCTTAGGTGAGTTATAAGAAGGCATCTACATTAACTGGAGGAGCAAGGATCATGCCTGAGAAAACCTTTACATTTATTAGTATGTCAGCATGAAGAAAGAGGGGAAGCTTAAATTCCATTTGTTGCACTTAAAACTTTTCTAATCTTGCTGTAGGCACATCATTTAGAGTTGTGATGTAGTAATGATAAAAACTGAAAATGCTTTTGAGACCTGTAGCAAAAAAATCTGGAGTCATTCCTGTGGCATGAACTGCACCAGCTRTTGCATTGTTTACTTTTTTTCCCTTTCTATTTTCTCATTTCTGACAATATAAGATTCTTTTTCGTATGACATCCAACTGAGGCTGTATCAGATTGCTGCACAACCTTCTGGTGATGGTTGCACCTTGGCAAAATCTGAGCTTGAATACAGTGGGCCATGGGAGAAATCACATCCCAAATCAGACCCTTCCGTGGTCAAAGYTGAAATTCCTATTGCATTATATAAGGAGCTAAACTTTTCTGTTTCCTTTCAGTGCTTTGGCAAGAGAATGGTCAAGGGTACTCAGTTCAGTGCTGAACCTCTTTCAATAGCCGCTTTACAGCTGGTTGGTAGCTGTGTTGATGTTTCTTCAGTCCCCAGGATTTAGGCTTTGGCTTGGCCATCTTGGCAACAGAGTCAGCTGGCACATTCCTGAGCTGCACAGAGCAGGATAAATCAGGTCAAAAAGCTTCAGCTATCTCTGAAGCTGCATAGGTATTGAAAATGGTGTTCCTTGAATTCCAGTTCTAGGCATAACTTGTGCTGTTTAGTAAGTACAGTTTTCTGGCCTATCCTTAGTAGCCAAAGAGTGTGTTCTAGGAGAACTCTCTGGCATGATTGAAATTGCAGAAGTTCAGCTGCTATTTCAAATACAGATGAAAGATCTAATGAAAAATGAAAAATCTCATGGAAGATTTTTCTAAGCAAGGATTTTTTAAAAATCAGGGAAATTAACTGCTCTGCAATATAGGGCAATTCCTCTATTCAGGTTTCTACAACAACAGTAAAGACCCTTGTGGCCATGCCTGGTAAGTTCCAGAGCTATTCTCCTAAGTTATTTGAAAACCACAGAATAAACGTGGCCATTGCAAAGTAAAAAAAAAAAACTAGAGCTAAAAACTGAGATGTGATATAACATGGGAAYGCCCCTAGGTTATTCTCAGGTTGAGAAGAATTAACTTTCTCTTTTTTTKGTGGTTTTTTTCCTTTTTCTTTTGGTAATATAGCCTCTGGCAAGAACAAATGGCAGATACGTGGCTATTAACTTTCAGAGCACAGCAATTTATTTTGACAGTTCTGCACATAATGGTGTCAGTTTGAACAATTTACAGTTCTGTTGATTTTTTTCTCCCGTTTGCTGTTCTATGTAATTACTTTGTGTGGTTGCTTAATAGCTGAATATATCTGCTGTCGTGTCTGATGGAACAGGTTTTTTATTTACTTTTAGTTTAACCGGAATAGGTCTGCTCCAAGGTGTTATATAGGCTTCCAGCACATCCTGAACAAACTTTTGAAAGTTTTTTTTTTCCCTCTGCATAGGAATAAAATAGTGCTCTTGGGTCTGTAAGTTATAGATCTCTTATTCTTAGAGGCTTTGCAACAGGTGTGCTCTTGCAAAGTATGGAATACTCCTGAAGTTCTTCCATAGGTAACCTTAAGATTTTGTCATAGCTTGATCACTTATTAAAAGTTTAAAAATKACTTAATTTTTAGTAAGCATTTAAAACTGAGCTGCTTGAATTAAATGTCTGCAAATTGAGAAAGTCAACATTTTTGAGATGTGTAGTTTGTACTTTACATTTTATTCTGATTTTTATTTATCTAAAAATTTGAAGACACTTGCAGGATCCAGTTGCATCTCCTGCAGTGTTTGTGTGTGGTTGTAGTCTTCCATTTTTAGAAAAGTATATACAGTTCCAAGAAGGTTGTATACTTTTCCCCCCAGTTGCCTGTTGGGAAGAATTAGAAGATTCTTAACATCCTAAACAAGACACCTGTTTGGTTTTTAAAAAAATTAAGTATTGTTTCAAAAACATGCCAGTAAGCGCTCTCCTAAATACAAAACAGAACAATGTGGAGATAGGGAATTTATATAACAGTGGGGGTATTAGAAGTTTTCTARATGTGTCGTTTCTCTGTGACTTGTTAGTTTGTGTTTGGAGTGTGTGCCTGAAGTTGTTCCTTTTTTTAAAATGCTTGAGGAAAAAATAAATTTGTCTGTTTCTTTCCAGTGACAGCCACCCTCATTCCTGGAAAAAGCTGTATCTTGCTCATCATTGGCCAGTGACTGTATGTAAGGTGAGATTTTTGTGTCATATTCTCTCTTATCTTAACAAAGGTAGCATGGGATAATAAGTGCGTGAAAACAGATTAAATACTTAATGGGCTTTATTCAATTTCGTTTATGCCTTTATGAAGGCTTTTGCTGATGTTGATGCAACTTTTTCTACTTCCCCCATACTCCACAACAGGACAAGATTCTGGTGTGTTACAGATACAGTAGCTAGTGGTGTTATGAGCTATAGAGGTGTTATGGCATGTGTCTGAGTATTTGTGCTTATTTTCTGTACTTGAAGAGTTGAACCAAAAAGGAACCCAGTCTTCCAATATATGTCTGTCAAAAGCACAGTGTCTCCGTGTGAGACAATGTTTTCAGAGAAAAATATTACAGAGTAAGTGTTTCCTCTGAAGTGAAAAATTTGATAATTTTTTCCAACCAATATGAAATAGATGCTCAGGCAGAAAGCGAAGAGAAAAAARGTAGTTTATTAACAAAACACAGTGCCCACAGGACACAGATTAAAAAGTAACTGTTAGATATTTAACAGTCAGGAACACACGCCGCCCCCTCCCCCACTGAGCTCACCATGTGGTGGTGCAGAGAAAAGATGGCGGCTCCCGTCCCAGGAAAAGAAACAAAAAGAGAAACCCACGTGGCCACTCCCGTAGCAGTGGCAAAAAAACCCCTGGATTATAGTCCTTTCTTCACTGTGGATGAAACAGAGGGCTCGGTGTGTTTTTCTGTTGCCGGTTTGGCTTCTTCCGGAGTCCAGGATGAGACGGAGTCGCGCGGCTTTCTCCCCGCWGGTCCCCAAATTGCTCCAGAAGAAGAATCAAAGCAGCCACAGAGGGGGTCTGTCAGGGAAAGCTGCTGAAGCTWACAAACCAGAGCTAGCTAAAACTGCAACAATKTAACTCYGATGCACACAGTGAGCAAGGACCTTAGGAGCTGGGCTGCAAAAGCAGAGCTCCAAGAAAYGGCTGCTTCGCAGTGCCGGCTTTTAAAGTGCCCRCRCTGCCTTCCCAGCCACCCCTGCTACTTCTTCCAGGTTGCATTTAAAGGCGCAGGCACCTTTTGGGCATGCAAGCCAACGGAATAGGAATACAGAACAGAATTGGCACAAAATCAACCCAAGACACACAGCTAAGAGGTATACTATTGCTATTAAATGTCTACTACTGTCTACTAGTCTACTTACTATCTACAGTAAGTAGAACATTTTTCCTGTGCTGGAAGTACTCAGAGGCCTCTKCTCATACAGTTAACTGAAATATATGATCAGATTTAATGACCCAAGTTTGAGGAACTTTGTGGGTAATACAGAAACTTCTCTTTCAGCCAAATGTCTCTACAGTCAGAAAGKTTTTTTAAGTTTTATTTACTACAATATTAGAGTCTTTACTTACTGTSTTTTAGGTACTTTTCTCATTCCTGTTTCTGAAAATAGATATAAAAGCACTAGAAACAAAAGCTTCCTGCTGCCTAAATATCCAAATAAAACAAGATGCACTTTACATTAGTTAAGTGTGGAGGGCAATATCAATAAAGAAAGTCAGGTGTGTGTAACTGACTGAGACAAAGGACCAAGACCACTGTTCTTGTTTTTGTTTGTTTGCTTGTTTTTGAGGGGAAATAAGGAAAGATTTTATGCAATTTGTATCTGATTTTTCTGTTGACTAAACATCACTCTTCATKACTTGAAGCAGGGATTTTTCAAGAGTTTGTAGTGCCATACATGAGTCAATGTTCAGAATGAGTGGCAGTGCAAATCCTTGCTTGCATGAATGAGACATGAACAATTGGGGAAGAAAAAAAGAAAAATAACATAAAACCCAGAAATGAACCAACCAAACAACCCCCTGCCAACGAGTTTTCCCACTGTGTATTTGTGCTGGTTACTCTCTGGGTAGTGCAGTTGATAAATCGACAAATGTCCTTAATAATCTTCTAGTGAGGTTGTAATGAATAATTGAAGATATTGGGCATTAGAAAATGTAGTCATTCTCACGCTTTGTTGATTTCTTTTGATCTTCTGTAGTAGGAGGTGGAGAGAAGCAGCAAAGAAATGAAGGAAAAAAATTGTACCTGTTTCAAGTCAAAGGTTGCCTGAGATTGAATTAGTCCTCCATCAATCACTCAGATAAATAGGAAGGCTGATAAGAAGTGGTTTTGCACAAGCAAGCAGGGGTACCTAGCTTTGCAGACTAGCATTTGTATTTTTTATTATATTAACTGAAAATGAACATAGGAAAGATACTAAGGCGAGAATTAAAAAGGAGATTGAATGAAGCTGGTCAAAGCATGCAGAGTGTGAACCAGTGTGCTGTGGGTTGCATTGACCATGTGGTTCTACCAGCACACGGGGTAACACCAAGAGTCTGATGAAACATTGTAGAAGAAACTGCTAGGAATGGTAGTGCCATAATAGGGGAGAACTGATTTCAAATTTAAAATGCTCTGGGTATTCCATTGGCATGTATGAGAGCTGCAGTTAAAGACTGGACAAGGAGCACAATTGCACTGTTTCTGTTGCCACCTCAGTTGGGCAAGCTGTTGACTATTAATTTTCTGTACGTTGGGCTAGATAGCCAAGTGCTTCCCATTCCACAAAGCTTGTGTCATGACAGGAGCAATATTGTTTTGGCATTTGTAGTATGTGTTTGTTCAAAATACTCCTTTCAGGAAAGCTGTTGCTGGGTTTCATTGCATGTATTGTTGGTGGCGAGARGGGAGAGGAAGAAAATGGTCTCAGAACAAGAAAGTCTTGCAGAACTCGCAAATTTGCTGCTACTGGCCTGTGGCATGGGAAAGGCAATTAGTGAGATTACAGGCCTGTCTCTGCTCTTCTCTACACTCTGCTCTTGCTCTGGCATCACATAAAAGGCATTGTGGCATAATTAAGACAGAATGCAGAGCCAAAAAGGAGCGCTATTATTATGGGAAAAGACTATCTGAGCAGGTTGTTAGTTAATGGCAAAAAGTGTTTACTTGAAAGAGCTGTAATTGCTAAGAAGAATAATCAGGGAAAATACAGTAATGGTATTCTGTGATGTGTGACAGAAATTTTTTTGGTTTATCCTTTCCAGGAATATGTTGCTGTTTTAAACAGTAATTAATGTGTAGGCTGTTTCTCCTGTATTATCAGTGCTTTTTCTTGGAGGCTCCTTTTTTGGCTTTTGTAGGCAGGTGTTTAGTTTTTCTCTCCATTCCCTTGTCCCTCAAGTTAAAATCCTTAGAGCATGAGTCTGTTTTACTTGGAATAAGCTATATATTTAWTATCTTCTTTGTATTTTGCGCTTTTAATACACTGATAAAACTAGTCCTGAATGCTTAGAGGGTTATGTGCTTGTCAAATATTGTAGTTTATTTCAAATGTTTTTATTTTAATGGCTTTGCACTCCTTGAAAAAATGTAATGATGAGAAAAATACAGAGAACTGCCACCTGGAATATTATAAATACAGATAACGCTCATTCATTCAGCATGGATCAGGCTACTTCCTGTTGCTACTTCCTGAACCTGTCCTTTTGCATTCTCTTTACATGGTCTGCTTAGAATGCCCCTGGCATTCACTTGATCTGCTTCAAAATTTTAATGCCAGTGGGTCCCTAAGTGGCATAATCCATGACAGTTTCAAATAACTGGAGTTCACCAGTTCCTTATATAGCAAGTAAAAGTTAACATCACAGTAGAACCAGCAGTGGGGGCCAGCAGTGAAGGAGGTTTTACTTTTCCTTTAAACATTTTTTTTGGGACACATACAACAAATATTCTGTGGTTTTGTTTCYTACAGATGAATGCTAATGATTGTCATGACCCTCCACAGTACTGGACAATCCATGGACTGTGGTATGATCATAGAGTGTTTTTATTTCAGCCTGAAATGGAAAAGTCAAATTTTGTACCAAGATGTTTAGTGATTTGGTTTTGTTGGGTGAGGTTTTTTAGTTCAGTTGGGATGGGTTTTTGTGGGTTTTTTTTTGTTGTTGTTGTTTTGTTCTCTTTTGTGTTGTGGTTGGGGAGTTGGTTTTTTGTGGGTATTTTTTGGTGATCTTAATTTGTGTATTCTTATGATTCCTTGAAACAAAATGAAAACCCTATGGTTTAACACAAAACTGAAATACGCTTCTGTATCTCATGACTTGTTGAACTCTTGAAATCCTCTTGCCACATAAGCATTTTATTTATACATCTCCGTATAAGATCAGTAATAGTCTCAAGCAGAAAAGGAGCTATACTATATTTTCCCTTCTTTTTTGGTCCCTCTTGAGTACAAAGAATTTGTTAATATCTCATGACTGCTTGTGGTTTAAGTATCTTATCTCCACACAAATATTGCAAATGTGTAGGAAAAACTAATATACTTCAAAGGAGTCAACTCACTGGAATTGGTGCCAATGGCAACAATTCAGAAATTTTCCTGACAAAAATCAGTACAGGAGTTCCAGCCTCCTGGAAAAGTGAACAGCATTATKTATAGATTTCCAGTGAGTATCTTGGTGGTACTTCAGAAAAATCAGATGATGCAGCAATTTAGGAGGTTGGGGCTATCAATGACATCAGTGACATCATGTGCAAGACCCTTCCAAATCATTGACAAACCCATATGGTTTTTACATAGAGTGAAAGGGACCAAAGGGCCAAACAGAGAAATCATGAGAAATCTTTTGTCCATAATTAATGTCATGAAGATTTGACTTCTAAAACACTGTAGAATCTGATAGTTTACTTGCATTTTAAAGTAAAATCTCCAGCTGTAATCCTGCGTGTTTGAAATTCAGACCAATGATATAATGTTGGTTACCATTAGTGAGTGAGGAGACATCTTTTTTCAGTTTTGGTTTTCTTCCCTAGGCCTGACAAAGGTGAAGACTGTAATAGGACATGGCATTTCAATGTCACCGAGATCAAGGTATTTAAGACAAAAACAGACAGACCAAGCAGAGCTAAGTGCAGTTACTTGTGCACATCCTATATGCAAAATCTGCAGTTCGTTATACCACTCTTAATGTTTACTGAGAGGTATGGTTTTTTAAGGACTTCAGAAATTCTTGAAGTGCTTCCGGTACTACTTGAAGTTGCAGTCCTTATGATCATTAGCATTACTTACTTGATTTTTTAAACATGCAGTTTGGCTCGTTCAGCTACATCCTCCTTAAAAAAAAATCTGGAGATCCACCCCCACATTAGTGATGGATTTTCAGCAGCAAAAAGTATCTGTGAAAAGAAAAAGATTCAGTCAGTCTGTGCTCTCTCTTTGTATTTTCTACTGCAAAATCAGAACAAAGAACATAAGAGTTCAGTTTTCTGTGGCTTTTCTCCTAGGGTATTAATCTTTTTTATTTTTTTATACGTAAAAAAACCCCAATATATTTAATTCAACAAAATTCATTCATGTGTTGTAAAGGGRGATAAAGACTTGAGCCAACAAATGTTAACACTGTATGATTGAACAAGTTTTGCAGGGACAGTTGAAGGAAAATCTTATTTTGAGGCATTGTGTCAGTACRTTCAGATATTTACAYAGGYGTACCTGTTACCTCCAAGAACAGCWTTTTCAGAATATGGGGGAAAAAGACCTTTTTCTGCAATGAAATGTTTCAATTATGGACCCTGAAAGGCTCTGTTGAGGCTTCAGTTGTAGAAAATGTAGATTGTATAAGAAATCGCTTTTCAACACTGTAGGTGCATATATTAATTGTGGTATTTTTAGGATCTTATGTCAGACATGAGACACTACTGGCCTGATGTGCTTCATTCATCTCTGAATCGCACCCAGTTCTGGTGAGTACAAAAAAAACTCAAAAAGGATTTTGGATATTATTTTGTAAAAAAACCACCTGAGTAGTTCTTCAGGTGAGATGCTGTGCATGAGCAGTGTCCAGGAGGCCACGGAAGCAGTGTGTCTTGCCAGTCTCATTTGAAGTATAAAACTGTTCTCTTGTAAAATACAGCTATTGAAGAGAGCRCTATGGCAGAAGTTTTAGAGAAATATAATTTAGTAAGAGAATGTTTCCTCCCTTTGTCCCCAGTGAAGAGAAACAGCTGCTGTCAACACATTAAATCTGAATAGCAGTAGCTCTCCTGGGATGTCACAAYTAGCTGCAAGAGCAGCTTCCAGATCACTTTCCTTAGCTGGTTTCATTGTGTTGCTTGCCTTGAGACAGCTTTTCTTTTGGTCTTCCTCATAGAGGAGGAAATAGAAAAATAGAATGCAGTGTATCATGGTAGCCACTTCTCTATTCAGTGAAGTTATTGACAGCAGCTGTGTGCTACACCAAGCTCATGGGTACAAGAGGTGCAGAAGAATGGAGGAGGCCTTCACAAATGCTGGCAGCTGTATTCAGTATCTACATGCCACCCAGCAGCTCCTCATTTCCTTTCTGCTTCAGTTTGCACTTAAATGGAAGAGGTGATGGAGTTTTCATACACCAGTGCTGAATGGTCGGAATTAGCTGTGTTTGCATATTTTTTTTTTTAACTTGGCTGTGCTGCAAAGTAAAGTAACACTGCGAAGAGTATCATCCTAAAGCCTCAGTAAATATTTCATTGAGACTAAAATCTGTCTCTGTTCTGGAAGCTCACAGAACTGATTAAAACACTTGAGCCCATGGCATTCTTGTCTTGCTGCAGGTGAGGTGCGTGGCCACTGCCAGTGCAGATTACATCAAGCCACTCCAATAGCAGTTCCGTGGTAGCAATAATAGGCTTCTTGAATGCCARCAGATCTTTGGCCCTCTATTTCTGCTTTCTTTTTAGAAAAGGCAGGACACTTAAGTACTACTGAAAGCCTTCAAAAGACAGGCACTTCACCATTAGTTGTACGCACATACATGCATATATTTTCTGAATTAAAATTGTCATTCTTTGAACAAAGCCTTGCCTCCATCATACTGCTATTTCAGTAAGATTTGGATTTGACTGTTGTATGCTTCTGATCCAACCTAACTATATTTCCTGCTAAGTGTACCCCTAAGAGAGCTTCTATTTACTTCAGAACTGTGCTGTCTTTTCTCATYAGTAATTTCAAATCCCTTCTGGAAAATCTGCCCATGGAAACTGATCTCTTCCAGGCAATAAACAATTCATTTGACATGCAATTGTGTTGAATGTTACAGCCAAGATGAGAATTCTCTACAAGGCTAAATTTTGGAAAATATAGTGAAAGTCTTACATTAAAGCATCTTCTCCACCGCCTCAGGTCTCCTGACATCACAGTTGCTTTATTAATTCTCTGTTCAGAAGCAATGTACTAAGGTGTTTTCATTCCTTAGGAAAAATCTGAAGTTTTTAATATGAATGCACAATTCCAAGGCAGGGTTTCAAGTGAATAATAGTTGTTCTTCTTCTCTGCTTTTTGGTGAGGCATCATAAGGTCACAGGATGCTGTGATGATGGCAGGAGTTTGTGATTAGATAATCTGCTGAACTGATACCTATGTAGTACAAGTGGCTCGTGAATATTTGAAAAGAATTTAAAAGAAAATACACATCCATAGGTAGTCTTGCTGTTCAGTCTTTCAGTGGACTTTTCCCCCATTTTTTGTCCTGTTTGAATTTGTCTGCTGTACACTGCAAGGTTTTCTTTCTTTTGCTCTCTGTTCCTTGCTCTTAGGAGAATGGGTGGTGGACTAGAAGCAAGACTTGAGAGCAGGCCTATAAAAATTCTGACACAGGCCAGCATAAAAGTTGATGCTAAAGCCTTGTCTTAGCAGCTTGTGCAATTCCACTGTTTCACCCAAAATAAGGCTTAGTCCTTTGAGTTCTGAAAAAAATTTAATGCTTTGAAAGTCTCCACTAAACTTACAAAAAGTTTAGAGACCATTGTTTTCTGGGCAGACTTTTTGCATTCTGACCTCCAAACATCGCTGTGTAAATACACTGAGAGGTCTTTGTATCAYAAGAGCATGATACATGTTTACTTCATAAATATATGTATGTTGCTGTAATTGAAATGGTGGGAATGATCTTTCTTGSGTTTAGTTCTTACACGTGCAATAAATTTGAGTGCAGCGTCCTATTCCACCTGTGTGCCTTCTGAGATATTTGATTTACGTATAACTTGGCTAGATTGTAAAGCACATAAATCTGCAAATAATGTTTTCTAAAGTTTGCATTTTGCTTTTCTCCTACAGGAAGCATGAGTGGGACAAACATGGCACTTGTGCAGCCACACTCGAGGTCCTTAATTCTCAGAAAAAATACTTTGGTAAAGCCTTAGAACTCTATCAGCATATTGATCTCAGTGGGTATGTAAATGAACTTGATGGTCTGCCTTTTATTTCAAATAGTTTTTAAAAGTTTCAAATCTAGCCTAAGGTGTAAGTCTAAACATCTGATGGTAGAGCGGAAATTAATATTAATGTAAAATATCTTAAGTACTGAAGTTCAGAGGAAGGATTGTTATGCTGAGAAGCAGTCTCTGGTCACTTCAGAGTCTGGTAAGCCAGCAGCATCCTTCACAGCATTATTTTAGACAATGTGAGCCAGTACATTTCTGAGAAGCTTTACAGGCTGTATCTTGCTAAGCTATGGTACCTGTAAACTTCTAAACAAAGTGACAACCCCCCCGCCCCAAGCTTCTGAGTCAAACTGAGTCCCAAACACTTGTTTTCAAGGCAGTACTCTGCTCAGAGGAAAGCACAGGCTGCAGGCAAAATCATGCAGAGCATCCTGGGAAAGGGCTGAGAGGCAGCAGAAAGAAAGTAGGTTATGAAAGATGGTGTTCAATCACTGCAGGCAGCCCTCTASTGTTATTTCTAACCCCAATGTGGCACTCTTGCTTTGTCCTGGGGGCTGATTTCTCCTCATGGTTCCAAAGCACTGGCCATTCCAGATTCAAACTCTTGATGAGAATGTTGTGGCTTGTCCAAGTGCTGTATGCATTCTGGCTGCAGGTGAACKCTAGAAGGTTAGAGTCCTTTCCTGATCAATGCTTGGTATGGGTGAGAGAATGTTTGTCTCAGATTTACTGACCATAAATGTCTGTCTGTATAAGGGGACCGTATCTGAGAAATGAAATGGTTTTGTACTAATTTCAAAAAAAATTCAGTAAAACAGTCCCAAAGTTCTGTGGCAGCAGGCGAGCTCTCCCCCGCAGGCAGCAGGTTTACCGTAATCCCCCGAGCCAAGCGGGGCAGGAAGTGAAGCTGCTTCTCACCCTACACACACACACACAGACACAGACACAGACACACACACATACACACGCCCTCCCCTAGCATAAAACTTTCTCCAGAACTTCCCTCTCTCCAAACAGAGGGATAAAAAAAACTGCCAGGCAGGAGCAGTGCTCAGGGAGACTCTTTGGGTGGGGCTACGTTTTTTGTCTTTCTTAATCGCCCAGTCATTAAAAGAATGACTTGGCAATCAGTGTATTCTAGCAACAAAATGGGMAAGAAAATTCTCCAAGAAAGGAAACAAAAGGAGAAACTTTAACCCACAACAATGCYCTACCTGGCACTGAACAGAGCAGTCTGAAACTCCCTTTCCCCTAGCTGTGTCTGAAGACTCAACTCTCCCAGCTCCTMAGATTAAGGGAGGAACAGATTCTTCGTGACCCTGCTGAGTTGGATGGGAAGTGGCTTCTCAAAAAAGGGCCTTTCCTGTTCTGGCAAAGAATGGAAGACAAGTTGCCCTTGTTCCCCATCACTGTAATGCTTGACAGCTTCTTAAGATTATCTGTTTTACCTAAGGATTATGAAGGTATGTTTGCATACAGGAAACATGGAAAAATGTTCTATCTTTGTTTCAGTTGTCTCTTGAAAGCTAGGATAAAGCCACGCAGTTCGTACTATAAGGTAAGAGGCAATTTTTTATAAAACAAAATTATGTGCATGCACTTTTTTCAGTAGGAGGCAACTAATTTCTGTAGAACAAGTGATCTTTTTAAAATTGTGTAGTTCTTTAAGGTTGTGCTATTTCTAAAAGTTTTTGTAAGCTTAACAAGTGTGGGAGCTGTTGGAAGATGTGTTTGTGACCCATTAATCTATATAAACTTTTTACTTTTTCAGATGCCTGTTATAAAGGAAGCTCTAACAAGATTTTATGGTGTAAYGCCAAAGATCCAGTGCCTTCCTCCAGAAGAGGTAAAAACCCCAAACAAACAACAACTCCCCTAACTTCCCAAAATTAAAAAAAAACCTAAACAAAAACCCCTTCTTTTTTATAAGGAGCACTTTTAATCAAAAATAAAGCAAAAATAGAATGAAGAATCTTCAGTGAGGTGAAACTAAAGTCTGGGTGTTCTTTGTGTTCTTCTCCAGCTCTTTGTATTTAGATATTGCTTGATTCTTCCAGATGACTTCTTAACATCTCTATTTTAAAAGACTTAAACCTGCATCTCTTGCATGAATGCTTTAATCACTATGCCAGAGGTGTTGCTGTAGCTGGACACTTTCCACCATGCCTGCTAAGGTTTACTTACTGCATGGCAAATTACTAAAGCCAACAAGAGTGAGCTGATTRAAGCCAGTGACTGTCAGCCTTGGTGAAGGTGCTGCCTGTCAGCAGCAGCCTTCCCTTCACTGGGCATGGCTCTTGTGTTCTGTGTGAAGAAGCTACTCAGTGAACAGAATCCTTCTGAAATAAAGCAGCTCAGAAGCTTATCTCTGAAATTGTTCCATAAAGCCCATACCTAAAGAGGTACAAAAAGTAATTTTGAGTTTCACTGTGGTGCAGGTGACTGTAGTCATTCCTTTTGAGCTGTGTCTCAAACATCCATGTCTTTCTATTTTTCCTTGTCAATGATTGTGCTATGCATCACAATGCAGTAGAGAAGGTACACAGAGACTGTGTGCTTTAAATTATAGGTCACCATATCTGAACCAAAAGTGCCTTTTRAGGAACAAAATAGTGTTCTGAAAAATTACATGTGTAGGTTGCAGAGCTCTTTCTTTTTTTTCAGCTAGGAGCTAGTTACTCTACTCTTGCAGAAACATAAAGTAAAAAACAAAACCCACAATATTTGCTTTCACTTTTTAAAGTGTTTCCTTATTATCTCAGCTTGTTAAAGGTGATTTACTACAAACCCCTTGGCAGAGTTACTGCCCGAACACAGGCAACAAGTTATGAAAACTTGCTAAGATACAGTTGCTATTGGMGTGTGTTATCAACTGATTTGCTTTAGTAGTGCTCTCAGGTTTTTATACTCAGATGTTTTTTAACATGGAAAAAATCTGTAGATTACAATACTTTAAAAATGTGTTTATAAATTACTTTAAGCAACAAAGGCATATTAGTTGAATGTGGGTTGCACACTCGCCCACCTTTTGGCATTAAAGAAATACAGAGGTAACACAAACCTAAGTTTCTAGCTCTGTTCGCTGTGGTTCTGCCATTGCTTTTAGTACAGTTGGGATACTGCTCCAATTATGTGAAAGTAATTTACAGCTTGGGTCTCCTGTGCTTGACAGCTGAAGGTACTGGGTAATAGAAATGAAAAAGCACATCTCAGTTATTTGAGGATAGGCCTTTTTCAGACTTCTAGCCTTGTCCATGCCTGAAGTGCATGATGGAGTTACTTTGATGTTTGAAATGTACTAGACATACTCTCTGTTCTTAAGTTTCTTAAAGAAACCCCAAAACATACAAAACACCCAAAACAAAACAACTCTCACCAACAACACAAACTCCAGACAAACAACAAATCCCTCACCACATTCTTGTATATATTTTTTGGCTTGTTTAATTGTTTCAAAACAAATTCTTTTCCACATTTTGTTAGACCTGAGCATTTGGGGGGATTTTCCTGTAATCTTTTTACCATATGAAAGACCTCCTGCTTTATTAATGGACAATATTTTTCTTCCCAGCCTGTCCCATAGTCCAAAAATAACATTTCTGCTCCTTCTGACAGCTTGGTTCTGTATTCTTTTCAGTAAAAACTATTATAAAATTTAGTTTCTGTTCTCATTATGGAGAGCTTTATTTGCCTCAGTTCCTGTTGTGCTATGAAGCGTTGGTGAAACGTGTCTTTCCAGTCACATGTGCCCTTCAGTATTCACCGAGTTCAGCCTGAGCTCATCATTAAGGTGAACAGTGTCTGCAGTGTGCAGATGAATAAAGGCCAGGATCATATGTCACAGCATTTCATAATGAAGCTTACCACAGGTCCCTAAATTAGTACTGAGTAACAGTATGTACTATAAGCTGTTCAGAGTGGATACCTCTTGCACTTCACATTTTTCAACTGATAAATATGCAAATAATTACTACTCTGTTCTATATATAGGGCAGTGTAGCTGAAGAATTGGTTTATTCTCCCCATGAGGCTGATATTGTCCTTCCCGTGTCTAGGGTGAAGAAGCACAAACAATTGGCCAGATTGAATTTTGCTTCACCAAAGAGCTGCAGCTGATAAACTGCACGGCGCTGAAGGGTGAATCCAACCCAATGCAGGCTCACTTGAAGCTTGGAACTCAGGAGCTGTCGATCTGCAATGATACTCTCCCAACCTATTATCCTTCAGAGGTCCAAGGTCACAAATGAAGACACAAAAGTTTGAAAAACTTTTTAAAAACAGCAACAAAAATCAAACTCCTGTAATATAACAAGCCCCTGTCTGTATCCCAGGGCTACTGTGGATAACTGCTGGAAAACACAGTTCTTTTGCTATTAAAAGAGAATCGTCTACATGATGGATGAGCATCTGATCTACAACTTGGTCTGGATTTTTGGCTTGCTTGTGGTTTGAATCAATGTTCAAAAGAGCACTGTGACTTCTAAGTTTGACTTGCATTTAAGTCTGCCACTTCAGCTGCTTTTTGGTTTTTACCAGTGAGTCAGGGAAAGTAATTTGTGTTGAAAGGATGATTGTCTCTCTGAGATGACAATTTCTTGAGAAGAAAATACTGTAAAGAAAAAGAGTTCTGAGATCTATCTGGGAATTACCATTCCCAGATGTGATAGCCACTGTCTTGCATCATTGCTCTCCAGAAGTGCAGAGCAGATCATGTCCTCTGAGGGGTTGAACCTTTCCTCACTCAGGGATCACAGTGGACTAAAGACAGCTTTTGCATAAATTCTTAGTGAAGTAATAACATTTTCCAGGTGTGAGCTTTTCTCCCCAAAAGATCCCAGGCACACTGTATTTGTAGCTTTACCTGTTTTTTGACTTTTTTTGTGGCATTAGCTCCATACAGCCTTGAGGAACAACCAGTGTTAGAGCTTACATGTTAGTACAGGAGAATGTTAGCCCCTAGAAATATGTTGTTACTAATTCTTAGTTGTTTAAGCATTCAGCCTTGCTACACACGAGTATCTGCACTTTTATATGAAAACAAGATTGTCACATAATCACYTTGTTCCAAGAAACAGCTTTGTATAGATGAAACAATAAATACTACAGGGTTTTCAGTAAAAGGTACAGATGTTGCCAATAGTGCATCTCTACACTATAGTGAATAGTAACATGCCACAGTTGCATGTTTCCAAAGGGAACCAAATTTTGATGGCATCTTCCCCACAGTGCTGTGRTAATCTATGTGTCACAAACTGTGTTTCAAAGAAAAACAATTATGGCTCAAGGAACCATCTGTTTGTTAGAATAATATTACTGTGAAAACAGTCAAGATGACACAAAGTTGCAGAGGGAGGGTGCTACTTTGCTGGAGGGTACAAGGGCTATGCAGAGCAACTTGGACAGGCAAGATGTGCAACCAGCACGGTGCTGGCTAGACGGGAAAAGCCTCCGAGCAAAAGTGTTGCTTTCCAGGGAGAGATCTGGCTTGTTCGCACGCTTTGGAAGGTGCAACGCAGCCAGCCAAGGGGGATCCTCAGAGAAAGCTATKTCGCTGAGAATTCTGCTTGTAAACACTCTCTCTTTGCTGCATCTCTCCAGCCGGCAAGTGGGCACGGCACTGGATATACGGGGAAAGCTTCCTAGCAAAATWGTTGCTTTCCAGTGCGAAATCTTGCTTGTAACACACTTTGGAAGTGGCAATGCTGCAGACTGATGGGGCACTATAGAGAAAGCATTTCTCCAAGACATTCTGCTTTTAATGTCTCTCTCTTGCTGCATCTCGCCGCCTTCAAATGGGCAACTCGCTGGCTAGACGGGAAAAGCCTCCTAGCAAAACTGCTGCTTTCCGAGGCGAGATCTTGCCCGGGAAAGCAGCACTTTTGCTAGGACGCTTTTCCCGTTTAGCCAGCAAYGTGCCCACTTGCAGAAGGGAGAGATGCAGCAAGAGACAGACCTTAAAAGCAGAATGACTGTGAGAAATGCTTTCTCTAAGATGCCCCACCGGTCTGATGCGTTGCAGATTCCAAAGYGTGCAAACAAGCAAGATCTCGCCTGTTTCCACACTTTGGAAGGCACAATGCAGCAGACTGAGGGAGCACCTTAGAGAAAGCATTTATCCGAGTGATTCTCTTTGTAAACTCTCTCCTTGCTGCATCTCGCCAGCGTGCAAGTGGGTATGGGGCTGGCTAGACAGGAAAAGCCTCCTAGCAAAACTGCTGCTTTCCAAGGCGAGATTTGGCTTGTTTGCACTCTTTGAAAGCTGCAATGCAGCAGACCGAGGGGGCATCTTAGAGAAAGCATTTCTCTGAGAGATTCTGCTTTTAATGTCTCTCTCTTGCTGCTTCTCTCCTGTCTGCAAGTGGGCACGTCGCTGGCTGGACCAGAAAAGCCTCCTAATAAAATTGCTGCTTTGCAGGGCAAGATCTGACTTGTCCGCACGCTTTGGAATCTGCAACGCAGCCCACGGAGGGGCACCTTAGAGAAAGCATTTGTCCGAGAGATTCTGCTTCCAAACTCTCTCTCTTGCTGCGTCTCGCCGCCTGCAAATCGTCACGGCGCTGGCTAGAYGGGAAGAGCCTCCTAGCAAAAGTACTGCTTTCCRAGGCGAGATCTCGCCTGTTTCCACACTTTGGAAGGCRCAATGCAGCAGACTGAGGGGGCACCTTAGAGAAAGCATTTCTCCGAGTAATTCTCTTTGTAAACTCTCTCCTTGCTGCGTCTCGCCAGCCTGCAAGKGCGGACATCACTGGCTAGACAGGAAAAGCCTCCTAACAAAACTGCCTCTTTCCAGTGCGAGATCTCGCTTCTTCTCCCATTTTCGAAACCGAATCGCAGCCGACCGAGGGGGCATCTTAGAGAAAATATTTGTCCGAATGATTCTCTTTGTAAACTCTCTCCTTGCTGCATCTCGCCAGTCGGCAAGCAGGCATGATGCTGGATAGACAGGAAAAGCCTCCTGGCAAAAGTGCTGCTTTCCAAGGTGAGATCAGGCTTGTTCGCACTCTTTGGACGCTGCAACACCGGAGACCAAAAGAGCATCTTAGAGAAAGCATTTCTCTGAGATTCTGCTTTTAATGTCTCTCTGTTTCTCTCCCTTCTGCAAGCAGGCAGGTTGCTGGCTGGACAGGAAAAGCCTTCTAACTTAAAGGCTGCTTTCCCATGTGAGATCTGCCTTGTTCGCACACTTTGGAATCTGCAACTCAGTGGCCCAAGGGGGCATCTTAGAGAAAGTATTTGTCCAATGATTCTCTTTGTTAACTGTCTCCTAGCTGCATCTCGCCAGTCTCCATGCCTACATGGGGCTGGCTAGACGGGAAAAGCCTCCTAGTAAAAGTGCTGCTTTCCAGTGTGAGATCTGGCTTGTTCGCAGGCTTTGGAAGCCGCAACACAGCACAGCAATGGGACACCTTAGAGAAAGYATTTCTGCGGGTGATTCTCTTTGTAAACTCTCTCCTTGCTGCATCTCACCACCTGAAAAGGGCATGGCACTGGCCAGACCGGAAAAGCCTCCTAGCAAAAGTGCTGCTTTCCTGGGCAAGATCTCTCATGTTCACACGTTTTGGAAGCTGCACTGCAGCAGACCGAGTGGGCATCTTAGAGAAACCATTTCTCCTAGTGATTCTCTTTGTAAACTCTCTCCTTGCTGCATCTCACCAGCTGGCAAATGGGCACAGTGCTCGCTATACAGGAAAAGCCTCCTAGCAAAAGTGCTGCTTTCCAGGACAAGATCTGGCTTGTTCACACGCTTTGGAAGCTGCAAGRCAGCAGACTGAGGGGGCATCTTAGAGAAAGCATTTCTCCGAGAGATTCTGCTTGTAAACTCTCTCTCTTGYTGCATCTCGCACCTGCAAACGGGCATGGCGCTGGACAGACAGGAAAAGTCTCCTTGCAAAAGTGCTGCTTTTCAGTGCGAGATCTTGCTTGTTCATACGCTTTGGAATTTTCAACACAGCAGACTGAGGGGGCACCTTAGAGAAAGTATTTYTCTGAGAGATTCTGCTTGTACACTCTCTTGCTGCATGTCACCGCCTACAAATGGGCACGGCGCTGGCTTGACAGGAAAAGCTTCCTAGCAAAAGTGCTGCTTTCTGAGGTGAGATCTCGCCTGTTTCCACGCTTTGGAAGGCGCAATGCAGCAGCCTGAGGGGGCACCTTAGAGAAAGCATTTCTACGAGTGATTCTCTTTGTAAACTCTCCTTGCTGCATCTCACCAGTGTGCAAGCATGGACATCACTGGCTAGACGGGAAAAGCCTCCTAACAAAACTGCTGCTTACCAGGACGAGATCTGGCTTGTTTGCACGCTTTGGAAGGCGCAACGCAGGRGACCAAGTGGGCATCTTAGAGAAAGCATTTCTCTGAGTGATTCTCTTAGTAAATTCTCTCMTTGCTACATCTCGCCAGCCTGTAAGCAGGCTCGGGCCTGGCTATACGGGAAAAGCCTCCTTGCAAATTTGCTGATTTCCTGGGCAAGATCTTGCTTGTTCRGACTCTGTGGAAGCTGCAATGCAGCAGACCGAGGGGGCACCTTACAGAAAGCATTTTTCCAAGATTCTGCTTTTTATGTCTCTGTCTTGCATCTCTCCCTTCTGCAAGTAGGCACCTCACTGGCTAGAAAGGTAAAACCTCCTAACAAAACTTCTGCTTTCCAGTGCGAGATCTGGCTTGTTCGCACTCTTTGGAATCTGGAATGCATCAGACCAATGGGGCATCTTAGAGAAAGCATTTCTCCGAGAGATTCTGCTTGTAATCTCTCTGCTGCATCTCACGAGCCTGAAAGCAGGCACAGCGCTGGCGAGCCGAGAAAAGCCTCCTATCAAAAGTCATGCTTTCCAGGGTGACATCATCCTTTTTAGCATGCATTGGAACCCGCAATGCAGCAGACCGACGGGGCACCTTAGAAGAAAGCATTTCTGACAGAGATTCTAATTGTAAACTTTATCTCTTGCTTCATTGGGCCCACCTGCAAGAAGGTACGGCACTGGATAGATGCGAAAAGCCTCCTATCAAAAGTATTGCTTTACAGGGAATAATCTAGCATGTTCGCAAGCTTTGGAATGTGCAACGGAGCACAAGAAGGGGGATCCTTAGAGAAYGCAATTATCCAAGATATTCTGCTCCTAAACTGTCTCTTTGCTGTGTTTCTTCGGTCTCCAAGCGGGCATGTCGCTGGCTATAGGGGAAAAGCTTCCGAGCAAAAGTGCTGCTTTCCGAGGCGAGATCTCACTCGATTTAATGCTTTGGAAGCCACAACRCAGCAGACCGAGGTGGCATCTTAGAGAAAACATTTCTCAGAGAGATTCGTCTTGTAAACTCCTTTCTTGCTGCATCTTCCACTGTGCAAGCGACCATGCAGCAAGTTAAAGTGTTTACAAACAAGAACTYTCATAGAAATACTTTCTGTAAGGTGCTTCCACTCTATGCTGCCTTGTGGCTTATAAAGCGTGCAGAAGCGRTTCTTGCACTGAAAGCAACACTTTTGCAAAGAGTCTTTCCCCTTGTTCCCCACGCGTGACCGCTTGCAGGCAAGCGAGATGCTGCAAATTACAGTGTTTACAAACAAGAATTCTCATGGGAATACTTTCAGTAAGGTRCTTCCACTGTATGCTGCCTTGCGGCTTATAARGCGTGCAGAAGCRMTTCTCGCACTGAAARCAACACTTTCGCAAAAAGCCTTTCCTCTTGTTCCCCACGCGTGACCGCTTGCAGGCAAGCGAGATGCATCAAGTTAGAGTATTTACAAAGAAGAACTCTCATGGAAATACTTTCTGTATGGTGCTTCCA